TAGTATTCTTGGTCATGGGTAATGATTATGCAGTCATTTCATGCGAAATAATGTTACATGCCGATTAAGTGGACCACGTACATAATATGTAGCGCCAGGACTATGTCGTGCGACTGCTCTGATACGAATTTTCAAAATTCCCTCCTTATACATTAAGAACCACCAAAATGTTGAAAAAACGTAAGTGATCTTTTTTGTGCCAAATTTTATTCTTTACAAAACGTACCAGTTAGGTTCTTAGTTCAGTCATTATAACCGAAAATATCATTACATGGACCTTTACCCTTAATTATCTTGTAACCTGTTCACCAATACAAGTTTTTATAAAAGCAAAATGATGGACCATTTAATTAGCACCAAAATCGTTTCTATATTAAGTTTTTACAAAGGATCGATTGTCTTCGATATTTCCAATTAAACGCGTTTATCAGTACGACGGCAAATACTCCAGCCTTGTCATGATGCCAATTTCAACTTATCATTAGGAAGCAATAGTGTAACGATATCACTAAAAAGTTACCGTCGCCAAAACTGTAACATTTCCTTATACATAATCTCCCTATTTACTGGCACAGGCTGTCAAAACATTAACAACTTCATGTTCCCCAAAACAGAAAATGACTTTCCTGGAAAAACGTTTGGTAAATGTGATTAGATCATACACGATACCATGTCATTGACTAAACATTTTTCGATTTTGTAGACATGGTTTTTTGGTTTTTGAGCATTCTTTGTGACAAAAAAGGGCGCCCATTGGAAATGGTCTTATGTGAATGAATTTTGTATATAGTTAGAAGTAAGCAAGAGGAAAACGTGAGAAAATTTTTAGGTAACATAATTAACTGTATCGCTAGAATCCGCTAATAATGTCTTGAGCTAACTTAGTGCCATATACATTCTCGTACAGTTATCGTACCTCATGCCAACTCAATGCGAAGTGTTGCTAATGTTGGTAGAAGATAAGGTAAAGCGGTCGCTCTTCTTCCCATCATACCCAACGGATGTTCATTTGACAAATGGTGCCAAGAGATGATGACGATTTGGCTGTTATTGAGGAACCATACTTTAGCTCTACTCTAGAATGACTCCTAAAGTGGCAATGATCTATTCCATATAACTTCCTGGCAGTTGGAGTCGGCTGCAACTCTTTGCATACATCTCTGTGATGTAATATTCTAAACGCTAGTCTTGAGGTAACCTAAAATCAAACGTAATTTATCAGTTAAGAATGAAGTCAAATAGATTGGCTTGGATGGATGTGAAGTTGGGAGACAAAATGTTGCAGACAATTTGCCGAAGATACCCGAATGATTACTGGGGTCGACATCTCAAAACAGTATCTGATTGAGAAAAATACAGAGCTGAGGGCCTGCAACAATAAATACATATTAGTCATAAAGGAATATTCAATGGACGAGGATAAACACACTCAATGGGAGAATCATTTTCCACCCCAACTAAATAATTCGAAAGGTTAAAACCTATCCCAAAATATTTCTTCCAATCAAATCACTTATAGATTATTGTATATTATATGGTATTGAGGTAGTTATTGACTAAAACGCATATAGTGAGCAGATAAAAAATATAAATTACAGTTCATTTTCACCCTGAAATTTTGTGAATCGAGAATTCGAGTATCTTTGCTAAATTGTTTGCTATATTTTGTCATCCAAGTTCACAACACTTATATATATATACGTATAAATAGGTTTGTATTTAAGAAACAATGACATATGTGTGTTACAGACAATACTGGTCGTCTCACAAGAAACAAGAAAGTTTCAAAAAGAATGCATTCAATTTCCAAGTGTTTGAGCACACTAATAATGTTTGATCCTTTTGGAAACACTGTTTTGAGCAAGCTCAAAAATTGACAGAAAAAACTGAAGCTTAAAGAGGTTCTGATGATGATTTTTTTTGCCAATGTCACTCAATAGTATGTTTAATTTGTGAATAAATATTATTAACTTATGTGATTTGATAGGGTTGATTAAAATTTAGTTCAAACTTATTGTATAATCAGTGTACTGTCCAAATGTTCAAATATTTGAATAATGCAGTTAAACCTTTGTAAATAGTGGAACACAGCTGTTTTTGATGATGACGACTAATTCATCCATTCAATATTATCTTTCTGCTTGCTTGCTTCAAAATACTGCTCGGCATGGTCAACTTGACTCTACTGATTGCTGTGTTTGAGGCAAAGGAGAGGATGAAGGTTCAAATGAAACCAAACATCTTTAACCCTTAACCGACCATGTGGAGTCTGACAGACCCGGCGGTAAATAAACTGTCCCATATCTTCCACGGAGTAACGCCTCTTGGCCAATCGGGTCACCTAATCCCTCGCCTATTGGTGCCAGACAAGTCATACGATGCTCAGTGCGTTCTCTTTATTTGAAGACGAAACACAGGCATTATTTGGTGTGTAGTGGTCTGCCAGACGTCACCTGTGCGTTTATGTGAAAATTGTTTAAATTGTGATATAGCCGCTCCATCGAAAAGAGTTCGGTTAAGTGACAAAAATTTTGAGGAAACTGTCCTCAAGTGGTACAGTGAAGTTGACGACACTGCCAGTGATATAGATAGTGCTACAGAGGACGAAAATATTGCGTCACAACACGACACGGACTCAGACTTCTCGGCAGCCGGTGATAGTGACTAAGAAAGTGACACCCATCAGACGGACAATAAATACTTCTATAGCAAAAACCGCTTTAGATGGTCCTCTACCGAAGTTGTTCCTTCATCGCAAACTGGGAAGCACAACTTGGTGACAAAGGTTCCTGTGATAAGAGGACGAGCCCGTGATTTAGGCAACAAGGCAAGTCCCACAGCCATATGGAATTTATTTTTGTCTGCGGAAATCCTACAGCCGATTCTCGAATGGACAAATCAGAAGCTTTCGCAAATGCGCTCAAGATACGCAGATACAAATAGTTTCAGTCACCTTAGAGATACCGATATAGTTGAGCTGAAGGCTTTTCTTGGCCTGTTGATATACACATCAGTATTCAACTCCAATCATGAAAGTATCGATACAATATTTGCTACTGATGGAACTGGTCGAGATATAGTCAGAGCAGTAATGAGCCGGAATCGATTTGCAGTTCTTTTGATTGCTTTGCGTTTTGATGACCCAGCTACAAGATCGATTCGTAAAAAAGAAGACCCAGGGGCAGCAATTTCGGAAATATTTTATAAATTTATTGAAAATTGCCAAAATTGTTATGGTATAGAGGAGTCACTAACCATTGACGAAATGCTTGTTAGTTTCAGAGGACGTGTCCATTTCAAAATGTATATGCCTAACAAGCCCTGTAAGTACGGGATAAAGGTGATGTGCCTTACTGGCGCCAGAACTAGTTATCTCTACAATGCCTACATATATACAGGTAAAGACTCTGATGACTTTGGGTTGCCTGCAGAAGAAAGAAGATTTTCTAAGCCGACACAATCAGTGATACGTCTTGCAAAACCTCTTTTCGGAAGTAACAGAAATATAACTGCTGACAATTGGTTCAGCTCTATAGAACTTGTTGACCTGCTAATGAAAAATGGACTAACTTACGTAGGTACACTAAAGAAAAATAAACAAGAAGTACCAACAGAATTCTTAGTCTTACCAAACAAGAAAAGAGAAGAAGGATCATCGTTGTATGGATTTCGTGAAGATATGACTTTGGTTTCTTATGTGGGAAAGAAAGGAAAAGCAACATTATTAGTTTCTTCTATGCACAATAGGCGCTACACCGACCCTGAAACCCAAAAGCCAGAAATAGTTTCTTTTTATAACCGGACCAAAGGCGGTGTAGATACACTCGACGAGAAATGCATGAAAAGTTCGACAAGCCCGCGAACACGTAGATGGCCGCTTGCAATATTCTTCCGTATTCTTGATGTATCTATTGTAAATTCATTTATTTTACATCAAGCTTTCAAAGACAATGAGGTGATAAAAGATAAATCAGTATTTGCAAAACAACTGGAAGCTGAAATAGTTCGAGAAAATATGAAAAGAAGACTAGCAAATGATCGAGTTCCTCGTGAAATACGCAGCAATATTAGTAGAATTTTGAGGCTACCGGAAACAAACGAAACACAGAATGAAGGGGAGCTTTTGATTACAACACGTAAAGCATGCTATTTGTGTCCTGCAGCAAAACCTCGCAAGACAAAGTATCTCTGTGTGCACTGTAGACGGGCGATTTGCTTGCATTGCTCAAACCCTCTTTGCAATACATGCGCAAAAAAGACGGTTGATTAGTTTATGCTAGAGGAGCATTTCAGTGTTATTTCCCTTTCAGTTCTATTTTTTTATATAGCTTATGTTCCTAAAAAATGTTTCAGACACATATTTTCCTACTTAGCTCACTAATGTTTTTTTGTGAGCTTTTAAGGATACATGTTTAATTAGGCCAAGTTACGATATAGTTTTCCAGATATGTGTTGTTGTCAGAAACCAATTTAGAAGCAAACCGTTTTTCCTCATTTACATGTAGTAGTAGGATCCCTATTGCTTTATACATAACAATAATAAATTACTTCCAAAAAATAACTTGTTTTACTATCTGCCCAGTTAGTGGTCTGTGAGACCCCACATGGATCTTTGCGTCCAGATGACTCACATGGTAGGTTAAGGGTTAAAATTCACAGAACAAACTGCATGACAATTATAATTATGAAGAAAGTATAGGTAAAACAAATTAATATTGATACTGGGCCTTCCAAATGGCTAATTGATTAATCTTACTAGCAAGGAACAATTATATATGAGTTACAGTTGAAAAGCTCATTTTGAATAACAATTATATTCAACCCTCCCTACATGCCTCAGCTTCGGTCAGTAATTGCTTACTTCTCAACTTAAGCACATAATGACATTGTAATTGTTTAGAGATGCAAGATGTAAAACTTATCAGTCATTTGCTTGCGGTAGATATTTATATTGGCGAAACTTGACTGATGATGTCCTCAATTGATAGAGCTGTTTTCCTTTGGGAAGGGGTCTGTAGCCATCGAAACAAGCCAAACGACCTGAGTGATGTCAGAGCTTCCTTCCAAACCTTGTCCATTCATTGAACAAAAATGTAAAGGAATTTCTTAGTGTTTGGGAATTCATTTCATATAATTTCCTGGCAACCTTTGAATACATATCAGCAGTACTGATGTTTTATTTCTGGAAAATTCAATAATGCAATACTATCACATTTAGTGATCATGAAAGGCTATCATATGAGATGTTGAATAATTTCCATAATGTTTAAATCAAATATTTTGAATGCTTGACACTTAGTTAACAAAGGTCTCTAATGTACGTTTAGAACACCAGCCTCGAGAACAGCTGCTGTATGACAGCATTGTGTGAATATCACAATATTAAATTCAACATAAATGTACATTCTTTACACTACATGGTAGATTATATGTATGTATATATTTCGACTTTGATCTTTGATTCATTCGAATGCAGACATTTATACTGCTAACTAGGTTTTTATATAGAATAACTACTTCTTCAGCAAATGGACCATTCAAATATTATGTAAGCATCAAAGAGTGATTTATAAAGTGGGGTTATTTTAGTGATTTCATGTTCAGCCAGCAAATTTGCAGTTACAACTATAACGTTATTTAATTTTACTAATACTTTTACAATATAACATTTGATTTTTAGTATATCTGACTGAAATACCAGTGCTGTATCTATTTCTAATTCCACTATGCTCCCATTTACTTTTTGTTTATCAATGAGGTCTATCAAAACTGAGTTATGATTTCGTTTTCATTCTTTCTCAATAGAACTACCAAAATTAGAGCTAAGTCTATTTAAATAATGTACTGTCTACCTTCTTATGTAGGAGAATATATACAATCTTCAAACAATCATAATATATGCTTTTAATAATAAGTGAGACAATAGTGAAAAGTGGAAAAGGCATCCACAGTTTCAGAAACTGTGCTGGAGTCCTTATGCACTGTTAATGTTTCCTTCCATTAATACAGTAGTTGGATACTGACCACTAGAATTTGAGCTCAACAAAATGCTAATTTGAGTAACATACAAAAGATGAATTAATTCAATCACTGCAGATGAGAATTAACTAAGTGGAATCTTATATTTTATACTTACACAATGCAATTATATTCACTGTACACTGTCGAATACGAGTCATATACATGCTACCAGTAAATAAAGTATACACAACGCGGGCGCGGTGCTGATTTTTTTTCATTCTTGTCAAAGTTTTTGAAAACACAACCATAACTTTGAACATAACCTCTCTTCAGAAAGAACAACACAAATAACTCGTATGGCACAGCTAATAGATATACTTCATTAGCAGAATAGTCAGTAATAATGTTCTCAACTTATCAAACATCACTTTTTTATACATATGCAGACTAGACCAGACAACGATCCTGGTGAGCAAACGTGGAACGACTGTTTGCACCCTAAAAACTATCTAGTATGCAAGTTGACATTATGTAGGTTTTTTTTTGACGTTTTGTAGGTTTTTTACATGATACCCGTGCGGGATTTCAATATGACCAAGTAGACATGAATCAAATTCAAGCGGATAACCAAATGGAAATAGTATTTACCATTTTGGGTTGGTATTTACCGATCCGTTCAAGCGAGTGTAGTTATCAGTTTGGTTATAAGATCCGTGACGTCACGAATCAGCTGTTATATGTCATAGTTATCACCGCAAAATTGTGGTATTTACCCAACTCAAGAGTAGTTTTATATTTCTGGTTATTATTTGAAATGTGACAGTTAGAATTTTGGCGGGTATTGGATATTGTTATTGTACTTCAGCTTCATTTTTGAGAAAATTGATACAGGCTGACTTCAGTTTTACCATAAAGTGGAGCACCTGATTAGTTATACTCATTACGGTTGTTGGGGACACTTTATATACCACAAGAATATTATAATATGGCCAAATAAACTCACTAGACGATATCTACCTGTATACGGTTTTGCTAATTTCTTTTGTCATCATTTCCACTGAATCAATAAATGTATTCTTTGACATGCGGAAAAATTTAGAGAATTTAAAGTTATCATAGCTACAAAGCCATGGTTCCATCATTAAAAAAAATCTGAAAAAAACATTTCTCCCATGAATATTATGAAAGGTTTCTTATTTAAACTTTCCATACACAGTTGTAGACGAAAAAGCACAGATTATTAAGTGATAATAAAAACAATCAGAGATTATATACGCGCTTTTCTAAAATAAACAACTTGCAACAAAACCGCGGTTAAAACCAACGCGTTCAAGCGATTCGTGTAACTGATGTCATCAACCCGTGTGTCATCTTGAACCATATTATAACCGCGGCACATAACACAGAAGTTTTGGTTATTCGCTTGGATTTGATTTTTATCACTTTAACCAGACGTGCATTGAAAAATTGACACATGACATTGATATACTTAGTAATTCATGTAGTGTGCAGTTCTTGTTTATGTTTTGCGCTGTGCGTTAGTTACTGTTTTCTGTGATTTAAAATATGAGATAATATAAGTGCTAGATCTCGATATATTGCCAATTTGGCATTACAACAATAAACCACAGTGGTTCATATTGATGCCGAAGGTGAGTTTCAAATCGGTATCAGTAGGTTTTTATATTTTATGGGTTAGGTCAGTGAACAATCTTAAAAAATGTAACTTTTAAGTAAAAGTTTCTAACTCTAGGGGCTGTATATGATGTTAAGAAATAAAATTGAAGAAATCCCAAATATATGTAATGTTTTGCTTCATTGAATACAAGTTACTAAACCCACCATAACATCAGAGGATGCATTTGTGAATATAAATGTTTCGGCTCCCATAACAACAGTGTCTGAAGGTAAACACTAACATTAAAAAATGTTGATTTTTTAACATGTTTTTATTAGCTGTATGCACCAGGAAATAAAAAATCCCAGGAGCTAGAAGAAAAAGTTGTGCACAATATCGAAAGTTTCCCTACTCTTGAATCCCATTACTGCAGGAAATCTAACAATCGGAAATACGTAGACCCTAGCTTATCAAAAAAAACTGATTGATGTTCCACTTGTGAACAATATAAAAATAAACTCATCACTATAGAGGACTACCAAGTACACATACGTCGCGTCGCGTCAGTGCGATGAAGCAAATGCTGCCAAGATGCACGATAAGTTACGATCCTCAAACGATAAGCATTTTGTTAGTATAACTTTCGATTTGCAAAGTGTTTTGCATTATACCTTTTTCTGATGTATCCCAGTCTTATTACAGTATGAAAATATGTGCGTTTAACTTGACTCTGTATGAAGCAGCGCCACCAAATAGCGCATACGCTACACGTGGACGGAGACTAACGGTCAACGAGACAGTTCTGAAATTGGAACCGCATTATTTGAATGGGTAAAAACAATTTCCAAAGACGTGACAGAAATAAGCATGTATTCAGATACCTGCAGCAGTCAAAATCGCAATCAGTACATAGCCGTTTTATTTCTATACTTACATAACTTTTGGAAAAATGGAGGTAGATTCAATGCACAGCGCCATAGAGTCTGCTATAAAACATGTTGCTATTTTTACTATGAACGATTTACTTATAATGTGTTCCGATTGGCTCGCTCTAAGCGCCTTAGAAATAAGAAGAGTGAGCCATATCAATGTAAGGAGCTAATATTCACAGATTTTCTAGATCTAAAATCACTGACAAGTGCTTTCTTGAAAACAGATTGAAAGACGAGAGTGGTGATAAGGTATCGTGGGTGAAAATAAAAGTTATACGTTACGAGAAAGAAAGTCCGGGCCAGATTCTCTTTAAATATAACTAGAGCCAAGTAGAATTTAAAAGGATCATTATTTTTGACCGAGGGCGATTTAATGCAACTCCTAAAGATATACCAAAATTACCCAAGGACAGTTAGGCATTTCCGAGAAGAAAAAAAATCTTTTGAAGCTTTGCACTCAAAACGGTATTCCCCAGAATATCATTATTGGTACCAGTTGACAAGAAAAATAGAAATACCATCCCAGAACCTGCAGAAGGTGAACGCGACACAGAATCTAATCCGGATTAAGTGATTAAATAATATAATAATTTTCTTGTTCTATGAAAAAAAATGTTTTCTTTATGATTAATAAATTATTTTTTATTATGAAATAAAATTCTTTGTTTGATTAAAAGGATTGACGCAACTAATTAGGAAACGGGATTTTAAGCAGCTGGTCCTTATTGGTACCAATAATTAGTCATTCCAATGTTTGACCAAGTAGATATTTAAATATTTCAAAAATCAGAAAAAAATTACCAAGTCACTTTTTTCAAAAATAAAATAGCAAGGATTTTTTATTTCATTTGTCGATTACATTAAAAGATCAAATTATAAAGCAAAAAACCGCATGAATTGAACTGCTGTGAAAAAAACTTTCTTTGGCAATTATTATATAAATTTGGTATCAGTTTAAAGCTGCATTTACCGAGAATTAATATTCTAGATTTGGTCAGTTTTAGCTTTAAGCACACGATACGTGTTATTCATGTTTTGGACATAGAACTCAACATTTGGAGCCCTAACAAATACATCATCACCGTTGAAATATTAAAACCGAAGGGCGGTACATGCGAGCTCCAAGGCATTCCAGTTCGCCAGCTTGAAACATGCGAATTATCTGCTTTGGCTTGCAGATTTTTTGATGAATAAATAACCTGCAGGTCAGGCTTTCTCATAATATTGGACTCTCCCTTACGAAAGCTATAGCTACGCCCGTCACGAGAAAGTACTGATTCACCTAAAAATTTCAGTGTATGTAGTAGATAATGCTTTCTTACGGTATCACTCCTCTTCCACCAAAATCATTACAAAAGTTACTGAGGCTACATAGTGGCAAAAGATCAATAGACAGACTGATGAAAGTGAATGGCTTGGATTTTGATGAAGTCATCAGAAATCATCAACAAATATTTTGTACTCTATATGCACGCACCGCAACAAAAAATTATTCACCTTAAGAACTTAAAAATGGTATTCTTGTTTATCTCTAAGTTAATAATTGTGGTATGCTGAGATGTGGACAGCGTACACCATAATTATGTGGAGCAAGTCGCATGACTACCGCAAGAGACGTTTTCGCTATTAAAATGGATAAGAGCATCTATAACTTTGGGTTGCCGTTGTAGGCGGAAATGTAATTACTTGGGACTGTGTAGTTCAATTTCTGGTAAGCTGGTGACTGTATCGTAAGATTTTGAGGAATCAATTTGATACAGAATTCAATTCTGTACAAAAATGATCTTATCACTTTTTATGTCAGAGTCAGACTCATATTTTGAGAGATAATTGGCTAAAAGCATTTATCAAAATGCCGGCTAAAGCTCAGGACCTATAATGATGCCAATTTAGATTTATTATTATAGAACAATATTCTGAAAATATACTAAGAGACATATAAAACCGAACACCCAGTTTAAATGGTCTTATTTTAATAAAATTTTGTATAAGTACTTAATGAAGCATAATAAGTAAATGATAAAAATTTCAAAATGATTGCAATGCTTTAAAGCCCTTTGAACTTTAATAATGTGTGGATGCACCCTGATGTGCTACGCATTCTCCAACGCGCCTAGGCATGCTTCTGATCAGGTGGTCAATGTCCTCCTGTGGTATCTCATTCCAGGCAACCACCAACTCCTCTCGAAGTGCTTCTAGAGTCTGAGGAGGACGTTGCAAATTGAGCAATCTCCTACCCATCATATCCCACACGTGCTCAATTGGGGATAAGTCGGGAGATCTTGGTGGCCATGGTAACAATGTGACATCATTATGTTGAAAGAAGTCTATTGTGACTCTTTCAACATGTGGCCGGGCATTATCTTGTTGGAAAGTTGGATCTGCCAGGGTGTCAAGATAGGGTAAAAGATGGGGTTCTAGAACTTCGTGGATATGATAACGCTGCGCGTTCATGTTACCTTTGATGAAGATTAAAGGTGACCTGGAACCATAAGCTATAGCACCCCAAACCATAACTCCAACATTGTGATGAACATGTCCTTCAACAAAAAACTGTGGATTCCTCCTTTCACCACGTCGCCTTCTAACCCTGGCACGACCATCGTGCATGCCTAAACAAAATCGAGACTCGTCACTAAAGACAGTACTGTTCCAT